TAACAATATTTACTTATTTATCTAGCCAGGGCGACTTCTTTTCTTTTATAACTTCTTTTATATCTTTTATATTTTTTATTTATTTTATATTGTTAATTTTAATTTGATATTGTTATTTTTGTATTTTATTGTATTTTATTGTGTTGTAAGTCGCCCCGAGGCTTCGGCAAGGGGCGGCATAGAAATGTTCTAATAATAACAACAACAACAACAACAACAACTGGCATTATGCTAAAAGTAGCTTATGCTTGCAATATATCAATGGCAAAAGTAAAAGAACACCATTGTATACTGTAAATTGAAAATACCCTGTGCTGTCAAGAGAATCCATGCTTTCAGATTTCACATAAAAACTAAAAACCAGAAGTCATTCCAAGTTTCACAGGAAATCAAGCAACTTCCTATTTGCAAAATGCTGCAATGTAGGCTGAGCTACTTTGATAACTCAAATTGGGTAATGATGTTAGAATAAAATCTCTATTATTCCCTTAAATATTGCCTTAGATTCTCAACTCATGGCTTTGGATAAATGGCAAAGCTTTCATGTTCAGTGAGTGGTAACAACCCTTATCAAAAATAGGTTGAGTACGTATTTTACTTGCAATATGTCCTACAAACAATAATTCTTTCTACTAATATTTTCAGCATTGGAAGTCCTGAATATACATACTTTTGCTTCATTTTTATCTAAAAAGAAAACAGCTGTTTCTACATTAATTCAGAACTGCTAATTGGGTATGTTTCTTTGTGTTTTTTATCCTTCACTGAACTGCCTAATAAGTTTTAATACTTATTCCCACACTGTGTACTATGTAAGTACTGAAATGTGCTTTGAAAAATTAACCCCTGGACTGAATGAATCTATCCTGCCAGGCCTCTCCCAGAGGTTCTATGCAACATGGGTTCCTATCATATGGGACAGAAGACAGCAGCAGTGGAATCACAAAAACACTAACTATTCCCTAGGCCAACCTAAGCAAAGAAAGCAAGACTCCAAAATGAAGCACTGTTAACTAGTTTTTCATAGAGCTACAAGAATGATGCCCACTTGTTTTTGTGAGATAAACAACAGTTTTCAACTCAGAAAGAGTACATAGTTTGATAGGCATGCAGCCAGCACATAAAGAATGTGCCTTGAAGCTATAAAAGTAAAAATACAAACTTTTGTGCTCTTCTGCATTGCAGTGTGTGGATGAGAAGAGGAGAAACCTTAGGTTTCCTGACTCTTATGGTACTGAACCTGTCTGCCTTTAAGGACATGACTGAAACAGGTGCCTGCATTTTAGCATCTACATCCTCCAGGTGGATAAGAAAAAAATCAATTAAAAAACTTTTCTGCTGTGGTACAACCTTATCATATATGTCAGAATGCTTATTTAAAAGCATCCCCAAATCAAAATTGCCTTGTATGTAATCTTATCCCTAGGATGTTAGGTTTCCAAGTGTCCAAGGCTCCAACTGGGGGAATTCTTTCAAAAACCAACATGCATTCTGTTGCAGTGTAGTCTTGTGAGAAAGCTAGTATACTCCATGCCTACCTACATGACTGAATCAGTTCTAATGACTAATTTAAATATTACAACCCTTACAGGAAAATGCTATCTGCTGTGACAGTGTTCCACTAAATGTAAGTAATATTTAAGGCTCTTTATCACATGTGTTGTCTCAATTTTATGAAGAATTTCCACATCATGCCTTTCACTGATGGCACAACCATAACCAAAGAGAAACATGCAGTATTTGGGGATTCCAGAAGTCCAAAGATGAGGATGTGCATAATCTTCAAATCAAGCTGAACACTAAGTAAAAAAATCAGTAATGCTTGTTATGAGTTACTAAAGGACAGTTTGCCCATTATTTCCAACCTAACCCTACAACAGCACTTAACAGCCACACAGAAACCACAGATATGTTTTAGGTATATTCCCTTCTCACTGACAGCAAGCGGAATAAGCCATGTCAACACCTTACGTGAACTGACTGTGCACCTTAGCACAAGTTCCCAAATCCTCAACAACCTGCAAAGATTCCATCATACAACATCTGGGGCCTCCTTGACCAAACAAGTGAACAGACAGGCAGCTCGTGCAAGAGAAAACTTTTAAGGCCTTCCACTCCAAGCTAGGCAAGAACAGAATTGAGGTTTGCAGGATTTACTCTGCATTCTTCTAGAACACTCAGATCCACCAATTAGAGCCAAGTGCAAAAGACAACTGCTTTAGAATTAAAGAACGTGGAGCAGCTTCTGAACATTGATGAGGATGGAAGAGTTGAGTTCCAGAACACAATGGAACTCACAATCCTTTCACATTAAAAATAATAATAATCCTAGAGATTTCAACCCCCTTTTCATTTGACTAGTTATTTTATCTTTAACCATTTGGTACTGAGTCATCTAAGATTCACTAGAGGCCTGATCTTTTGCCTACCCCTGGCTTTAAAGAACCTTCCCACTTTACTGTGAAGAAAATAATAAGTTGGGTAAGACCGGAAAGTGCTGGTACGCAGAACAAATTTGCCTCCCTGACAAATACCGATTATTCTGTTCCTGCCAGTACTAGGTTCCTGCATGGTTCCTCTGTTACAGACCCTAAGAAACGGGTGATTATGACAGGGGTCTTGCAACGAGCCCATGGAGGGTGATGGCTGCGCGCGCCCGCAGGCCTCGGCCTTCCCCCTTGTCTGAGCCGCGCCCCCGCCGGCGCCCCTGCAGGGCCCGGCGAAAGCCGAGTCGCCGCTCTCTCGAGCAACGTGACTCCGAACGGCAGGTTCTAGGCGGTGCCCCGCCCCGCCCGAACGGCGCGCGCCACCAACGGCCAGCCCAGACACATTTCCGCAGCTGGCCGCCCCTTCCTCACGCCCCCAGGCGCTCCCGCTCCTCCTCCCCCGCGCGCACGGCGCGAAAGCACCCCTTCCCTCGCGTGGTGCGCTGACTTCTCCTCCTCCCTCCTCACCATCTCGTCGCCGCCGGAGCCACCAAACTGGCCGGCCCCGGAGCCGTCCGAGGGTCCCGGGCTAGCTCTTCCCTCGGGGGTCTTCCTCTCGCTTGCACCCTTGCCTCCGCCCCGCGTGCCGCGCCTCCGCCGGCCCCACAGGTAAAGGGCGCCGGCTCCGAGCAGCAGCGGCGCTCCCACCGCCAGGGCCAGCTGCCAGCGCGGAATCCCCGAGCCTGTCGCTCCCCCGCGCGCAGCGGCCTCCACGGGCTTCGAGGCGGCCATGATTCTCCCCTCGCCTCACGGCGGCGGCGGCGGCAGAACTAGCCCAGGAGAGCGAGGGGTCAACGGAAGCCAGGGGCATAACGGGAAAAAACGGCCTGGGAAAGCTTCCGCCTGCTACATGCCTTCACGTCCTTTGCTGCGGCGCCGCCAACTGGCGGGGAAAAGTCGGTGCCTAGACTAAGGGTGACGCTCTGCCCCCTGCGGGCAAGGAAAGGAGTTGGCGAACCTTAAATCATCCAAAAATACCTAACATTTAGGGTGCTTCCAAGACGGAGAGCTCCTAATGTTTTCAATGTAAAGGCATTGTGCACCTATTCCAGGTGCTTCAAGATGAGTCTTTTAGCATGTCCACCGTGCTCAGTGACGTTTTTGTCGGGTCGGCCAGGCAATGTCCTCTTATTATTCTTCCATTTTTTGAAGACTACTTACATCTTGTTTTGTATTGCAAAAATAGTTTAAGAACAGAACCACCCCCTACCCCCCACCCCTTTAGCTGCATGGTTTCTTCTGGTCATTAGCATTAGGAGCTGCTCTGTCTGGAAGAAGCTTTCATCTTTTACTCCTTAAATTATTTTTAAAAATAGGCAGAAGCATCAGAAAAAACAAAACAAGAAAACACAGGGAAGTTACACATGGAGGATGACTGGACTTTCTTTAAAATTTTCCTAAATGAGGCATAACAATTACAAGATAAAAGTTCAACTGGAGCACAAGAATCATAGACAAAATACACATAACATGTGCATGAATTTATACATGTAAGCAATAGTGTCCTTGTATATTTCAAAGTGCAGTTGCTCCTCATCATAGTTAAGCCCCTAAAGAGAGTACATAATTTTAGGCCGGCTGTGTTGATCCACATAAGCAAACCAGTTGTAGCAGCTTTCATTTCAACATTAGCAAATCTTTTGTAAAGTTAATGGGTCTTAATTAAGACCAAGCCACCCCAAAATCCTTTGCACTGTGATGGTGAATAACCTATTGACTGGGTTCAGACAACAGGTGTTATGCACCACTGCCTCACCATGGATTAAATAATGTATAGTGGACTGGCATGTTGTGAAAACAGTCATACTGTTACTAGGAAAATCCATTCCCACCCTGCAGCTCTTGTAAGGATTGCAGCTGAGCTAAGAGAAAACTGGAAATGAAAGAGGTGGCTGATGATGCTGTTAACAGAAAAGTATCCCTGTAAGCTCTGACTCTGCTACCTTCTGTCAGTGTAAGTCAAATACATGTATAAATATGCACTTTAAAGAATGTAGTTGAGTGTAATTAAATAACTATTTAGGTGACAGTTGCAGGAATAATGAATATAAGTAGTGGGGAAAATGGTATCACAAGAGACTCTGCCCCAACCTATTTACATTCATTTGAAAAGATCCTATATGCATACAAGTATGTAGGTCATTGTTCATGGAAGCAGGGACTCTGCATTAGAGCTGGAACCTGTTACTAGGTGAGTTGCATGTTTTAGAGGCTTATTCTAAGTGTGTGCCACATGTGCAATTCATTGCACTTCTCAGCATAAAACTCATTTCTGTTTTTTTCTTTCTTTCAATAAATCTGTTCATCACACTTAACATTTGGCTGATGGCGCTAGGTTTCCCGACATGCTCAGTTGAACAAAATTAACTAGATCTGAATCTGACACTATAACCTCACCTGCAAATAAAACATTTCCTGTGTGGCTTCTGTTTGTCTGGCTGCAGCACTTAATGGAGGGAGCAGATTGCATTTTCCACACATTTTCTTGCCTGAAACATGGAGTGGAGGGAGAAGGACAGGATTTGTTACTGGGGAAGATGATGATACATGTTTGTTTGAGTCTCTAATTGAATGGGAGGGAGCAACTGTTGTGGATGATGAAGGTACTGGTGTTTGCCTGGCTGATATTTTCACAGGTGGAAGGTGCACACTGAACATTGATGTTGGCTTTCCTGGTGGTCTTAATGGTGGAAGAGAAAACTCTGCCATTGCACATGAATCTGTGAAGCTTTCCTAAGAATGAAAAGAGAGAATATTTCTCAGTTGTATCTTTAATTAAATGAATCATTAAACAATTGCTTTAAATAACCTTAACCCCTCCCCTGGAGTTCTTTTAAAAACATTATTTACAACTGAAAACTAAATAGGAAATACTGTTAGGATCTTGGATTCCATTCCTCCAAGCAGTGATAACTCTATGGATGCAAGTGTTTATACAGAGGTTTGAATGGGTTTACTAGAGATCTGTTGCATCTGTAGTATTTGTCTTCCCCCTACACCCCAAATATACAGGTTGAGCTTAAGTAGGGATTCATACCACTGATGACCCAATAGATACTGTTTTCTCATCTGTATAGAGGCTTTTGCACTGTAAAGAAGTCTCAGAGCTCTGTTTAACTTTCTGATGATCTTCCAGCTTGATGTTGCCTGAATCTCTTTCTCCTGTAAGTAAATCAAGCTGCTTTTATTTTTTCCCTCACACTTAAACTGGATTCCCATGATGAGTTGTAGGGTCATGCCTTATAGCAGAAGCTGTATGACCTGGGTTACATGACCCATGATGGATGTAATGGTAAGCCAGGGAATGCCCCTTCTTTGTCCCATCATTTCTGGACCACACCTGCTCAAAGACTAGACCCAGCCCCACAGCTAAGGCACCAGATTTGGCAGCACAACTCACCCAAACACCAAACCAGGTTAAAGAAAGTTTATTAAAGCATTATGAAAAAGAGAGGAGACAGGGATACAGAAAGGACAAGGGCAAGCGGATAGCAGCAGAATTATACAATTCTGAAAGATTACACTATCTTTACCCCACACATGCAATTTCCTTCTTGCACCCCCAAAACAAAAATAATAAAGCTAGTCCTAAGCTAATCTTTACCCACTGCTATGGGGATTTCAGCATTTGGTCAGTGGCTCTCAACTAAGTGTCCTTGGGGCCATCTTCAGTGATAACTTAGGAGTGTAGATCACTCCCTGATCCTTGGTAGTTAAAGTTCAGTGAGATTGCTTAAAATGTAGATTAACCCTTCTTGCAATGTGTTAGCTCCAGTTAAAAGTGAGCCACGTGGCAAAAATGTAAAAAACTGCCTTACCTCTCTTGCCAGGCAGCTCTGGGAAGGACCAATGACAGCAAACCCAAAGTGCCCAAGCAGCAATTGGGGCACCAAGGGGTGGAGATCCTTGATGCTCCTCTGAAATTCCCTGATGAGCCTTGCTGCCCTCTACCATACACCATACTCACCAGTCGGCTTAAAATATCACAGGTCTGCTGTTCTTCTCCCTGCCACCAGAGCAGACTCCCTATGGTGGACAGGGTCAAACTTTAATGCTCCCATAGGATCTCCTGGGATAAATGCAAGGGGAGTGGGGAGGAAGTAGGCAAGGACTCATGATGTCCCTGATCATCTGTTGCACACAGCATGGACCCTTGGGCCAACAGTGTGCAACACATTGTCCATGCTGCAGTCTGGGTTATCATATTATACAAACCCATCCTTACTCTGAATTAGAACATTCTCCAAAAGGGACTGTGAGAACAGGTAAGCTCCTTTCCAGAAGTGTACTGCCCTTTTTATTGGTCATACAAAGGAATGAGATTCAAAGGGGCACACTGATAGTAAATTCTGATTTGCTTCCTTGATCATATACAATTTATCCTCATGTTTGTGTATCTGATCACAATTAAAATTTACATGTTAGCAGTTATATGAATATGTTTCCAAAAATGTGTCCCTCAGTTTTTGCTAGCAAACACAACATCTTGAGATATTTTTTTTTTCAGCTACTAAATGATTTTCAAAAATATTTTGAGGTAAATAGATGAGCTGTGCTTTGAGAAACCACCCCAACAACTAGAACTTAATTGCTATTTAGCACCCATGTAGAAATATACTAATGTTTACATATACTCAACATGTGTGACTGAAGCATCTTTAACTGAGGAGGTGCTATGGTGTTCAAGTCCTGCTTGTGAGCTTCCCACAGGTATCTGGTTGGCCAGTGTGGGAATGGAATGCTGCAGTAAATAGGCCTTTGGTGTGTTCCATCATGGCTCTTACGTTCATGTGACTGCCATTTGCAAAGATGGAGTGATGTGCATTGGGGCATCTGAATTATAACATGGACCACTCATACATACAATAGCAAGTTGGCACTGGTGTCATGGTGTTTCCTATAAGTCTAAGATGAAGTTTCTAGGCAATGTTAACCAACTGTAATGCTAGATTTTTTTCTCAAGAGAGCTTTTTCATTCATATGGAATGTGTTGTTTAAATATTGGAAGACAGAAAAAGTTATTTATTTCCTAAAGTCTGTTCAGATCTATATTGTGCCAGTTCCCAAACATGTTCAATACATTAATTCTGTTTCTCTTAATTGCTAGCCAGATCCAAATCATAGCTTTAGCCTTCCAGGCATGTTACTGTGGTCAGCTCTCGATTGGTATTGACAGTTGTGCACTCAGCAGCAAGCATGTGAAGTAGGTACCCAGTACCCTTACCACCCTGCAGGGTGTGTGACATTGGGAGTTTCGGTAATGGAAAGGTTAGAAGCAAGTAACCATTTTTAAAATAGATTAGCAGGGCTTGGTTTGTACATATATAGACAAGACCAAGGGCAGCACTGCACTAATATATTTCTTGGGTTGCTTTTAGATGGTTGCAGTGTTTTCTAATTAGAAGGGACAGTTTTTAAATTACACCACTATTTTTTGTCATTTTGTGGCTCTCTAAATCAGCAGTGCTGTTTCACATACATATTTCCCGTCTGTACATGGACTATGAAGAGGATGATGATATTTCCTTTGCAAAATGGATGAGCAGTTTCTGGGGACACAGTGTGACTGATGAAAAGGAAAAAGAAAGAAGGGCACATAGAAAACAGCAGGCAAGATCCTTGGGTGAAAGAAGAGCCTCCCTTCCGGTAAGACCCCGAGAAGAGAAAGTGTACACAAGTTAATTAAATGGATCATCCTCCAGGGGGATATGCATCATGCCTGTGATGAGTGAATATTTGGTTTTGGGAGCAGGGGGGTGTTTTTGTATTATTTACATAGAAAAATGTAAAAAACCAAGTACCACCATTCATGTCAATACAGTAACAACAATGAATCCAAAATGTAGGCAAAGATAACATACAGCTTAAACTTGAGGATTGCTCACTATTGAATGAAGAACATGGCTTTATCTCATAAAATCTTGAGCTATATTTGTGCAAAAAATATGAATAGACATACTTTAACTGCATACATTAATCTTTGTTATAATGAGGGAAGGATTAAGACAAAATTAACTGTGAAATGGAAGACTATCTTAAGTTCTAGTGGGCTCTTAACTACTGCATTTTATAGTTGTTTAACTGGTAGTGATTACATAGTTGGGGTGAGGCACTATAAGGGAAGGGACTAAAAATTTGGAAATCCTCCATGCCCTGCAAATTTCATGGCTCAGGGACTAGAGTGTGATGCACATCCCCCAAATCTGTGTTCCCCACCCCTCATTCCAGAATGCTTAGTAAAGAGCTCTGCCACTCCTGTACCGGAAAAAGCTCTTACTGGAGTGATGAAGCACAATTAAACTGCAAGAAGTATGTTACTTTGCTCCACTATTAATACAGCCCCTCCACCTCCAACAAATGTAGCTTCAGTAGGATCTGAGCAATTCTGGGATGGGAGATTGTGCTGTTAGAATGCATCCCTTGATCATAACACCCTGCTACATTTTTTATTACTTAAAAGCAAACCTTTTATCCTCTTGTTTCCCCCGACTCCAACAGCCTTCAACATTACACAGCTCATAGAGAGTAATAAATATACAGAGTTCCAATTTATTTATTTAATTTACAAATTCCTTTTCTCTGCACAACTGGAAAATTCCTTGAGTGTGCAAAAAATGTAGGCAACTTGGTCCAATTTCTCTGTCCTGTTGTTAAATATGGAACAACCAAGTTCATTTTGCAAGTGGATGCTTCCATAAACTGTTGCAGAGTTTTGTCACCTTTGGCAGGATATGTGACTTTTATGATTCCAGCCATGCCCTCCTCCAGGTTAGTCCATTCTATTTACCCCTTTCCTTATTTTCCAGTTTTATTTTCCAACTGGCACAACACTTGGTGACTATTGAGCATGTCCAGTTCTCATTAAGATAGGGGAGCTGTCTTCCCCCACCCCACCCCCCATTTAGGCTTTTAAAAAGATATTTTGTACTTCTGCAACCTTTGGTTTTCCCTTGATCATGCTACTACCTCCTTCTTGTTTTAGCTTCAGTCCTTCCAGCACTCACTATCTATGTTTGCGAGTCAAGAGAGTGAGGATAAGCTCAGTATTACTGGTGAAAGGGTTGGTATTAGCCAGGTTAAAAAAATGACTGATTATATTTGAAAATAGGCAATAAACTACCCTTGATGTAATAAACATTTTGTGAACCTGTCAAACCAAATTTCATGGAACACTTGTATTTGTCTAACTACTTTATTAAAGGATGATTCACAAATACCTTTTAGTGTGGTGATATATTAATTACTAGAAGAAGCAAAGCAATTAGTTTTAAATCCATTCCACCATGTGGCTACTAGTTCGCAGCTCACCATACTGCCAGCTAGCCACCTCAATCTTCTGATGGGGTGCAGTATGTCAGAAAAATTCCACACAAAGCCAGTATTGCACTGGAATAGACATTACTTTTTTATCTGGGGTGTGCAGGACAGGAAATAACTTTCCATTCACCAAAGTAAAGGTGTCTAGGCTCTTCAAAACTCTGTTACTGTTGTAAATGCCAGATATGTCATGATAATTGTGCCAGAGGAAGGCAGAAGTGACAAACAATTGTTTTAATAAAAAAACAACAACACTGTGCATTGTAAGTGACAGTGTGTTTTGTTTTTATTTTTTTGGTATTGTTAAACTGTCCCGAGACTTTGGTAATGGGACGGTCTACAAAAGTTTTAAAAGAATAAAACAAATACATGGCATATTAAACTGTATTGTAGTCTTTTTAAGACTCTAGCATGTTAAGCTTATATTATATAAAGGATTAATTGCCTTTACATCAAAATTACCCAAGTTCAAAGCTGCACAAGAAGTCACACAAATGTTTAAAGTGTATCATTACAGTGCAGTCCTACACATGTCTGCTCATAAGTTAGTTCTACTGAGTTCAGTGGAATTTAATTTAAGGTAAGCATATACAAGACTGCAAGCTTAAAGGATAAAGTGATTCTAATACATCTTGCATTTAAAAATACATACTCACTGCTTTTGCAGAGATACAAATGTTTATGTAACCTTTCATTAATTCAGGAGAAAGCAGCATTTTTTAGTTCTTGTTAAATCCTTAATTGAAGTTTTGTTTTATTTTCATGTTGCTTTTCAAGAATGACTTTATGAATTGCTCTGATGAATCAGATAGTGGTTACATCTGCACTGGAATCATTTAGCACTGCTGAGATACCACTTTTTCCTCAGTCTACTATAAGCAGTATTAAAATGGAGGTTCCACATAATACTCTTCAACTTTAATTAACAGCTCCCTGCTTTCCCATTCCAACACTTTCATTGCTTCCTATTGAGCATGGTGATGAACTACCTTACTGTCCCTTACATCAATTAGTGATGAATTACCTTACTGTCCCTTACATACCCCTTAATTGCTTCCTGGTGTACATTCCTGTTTTATGATGGTAGGAAGCTTAATTATTATATAATTTTCATGGTGAAACAGCTAGGTTAAATAACACTTGAAACTATCATTTTAACATAGTGAAAAACTGTTACTTCATCATAATGAATTATGAAGTAGAACAATGAAGGGAAAGCAGTAATGTGAGAGCCAGTGTGGGATGTTGGACTGGGGATCTGGGGTCTAGTCCCTACTCTGTCATGGAGCTCACTAGGGGAATTTGGGCCAGTCACTGCCTCTCAGCCTAGCCTACCTCACAATATCTTCTTATTGTGAGGATTAAAATGGAGCAAAGGAGAATTATGTAAGATTCCTTGGGTTCCTCACAAAAGGGAAAAAAGGCAGAATACAAATGCAATGTAATAATAACAACAAACTCTGGCCCAATACCATGCTGCACAGGAAACAATAAAAGCAAAACCTGGTAGCAGGAACTTTTAATTAAAGGCATAGGGATCCTAAAATATCTCAGCTGCACTTTTCCTGTCTACACTGGATATATTACACTGTAATTGAATGTTTAAAGATGTGTTCATTATACAAATGTTATACTCTACACCCATTCCAGTATGGAGATTTGGGAAGGTAAACAATAAAATATAAAACAAATAAAAATATAAAACAATGTGTGAAAAACCAAGATCAGTACAAACCATATTACTAAAATTGCAAATAGGTCAATCAGGAAAGCTTTCTGGAATATAAATATTTTCAGAAGGTGAAAAAACAATACAACATTGATTTCCAGAGGCAGGGAGTTTCAGAAAAATAGAGCTGCTACATTCTTTTCTGAGGCGATGCCAGTTGGCCCGTATGTCCATGTGAAACCACCAGCAACATGCCATCTGGTAACCTCAGGTCCATGTGGAACCTGACTGGGCATGTTGATAAGGAAGAAGGTTCTCTCTCTGTTTTTAGGCCAGTATACACTACCTTAAAAAAGCTTACATCACAAATTCACTATTGGAGATAGAGAGTAACACAGGAAAGAATAGAATTGAACTGTTTGGCATCATGATGATCTGAACTGTCCATACAGGGAGTAAAGAAAGGATAGGAATTCCAGAGCAAAGTGCAAATACAAAAAGCAGCCAAAGAGGTACTGCTGAGAGCTTACAAGCAGCATATGAACACCTTTATCACTAGTATTGCCCATAGCAATAGATAGATGCACTCTCCATGGTGTGTCTAAGCCCTTTAAAACTGTGTTATGACATCCAGTGGCAGAAAATTGTTGTACTAAAAGACTTTCTCACTGGAAATGTCCTGGCAGAACACTTCAACTGGCATCATCGTTTTCTTTTGGTTAAGCTTTTTTGAATGTCCCATGCTTTTCAACCTTTACTATTTTAGTCCCTGCTATATCTTGGCTTTTAACCTCTGTTTATTTCTTTTCTAGTTTGGTCCTATTTTTCCTGTATTTGTCAGCTAGCTTTTATATTGCATTTTTATTAGGTTGCTTTGTTTGTACTTTCATACTGTTTACTAAGTTGTTTTTATGGGCCGTCAAATTGCCTCCAACTTATGACAACCCAATGAATTAATAGCTTCCAAAATTTCTTGTCTAGATATGGAGTGGTATTGATACTATGAATTTAAATAAATTAAACAAGATGTGATATTCCATGGCTGCTTACCTACCACTCCACAGCCCAGTAGTTCCAAATATATTTAAGTTATATTGAGGTTACAGATAGACAGATTATCTGTCTAAAATAAAAAACAAACATTTAAAGTGCTAACAAGTCTAGAGATTCTTAGAGAGCAATCTCAAAAGTTACATATTTTATTCAGACAGGCCTCTGGCATGAAAACTGATTACATAAAGGATGTTTTTAATTGGTAGGTATTGCTTACTATTTTTATTGCTTTAATTTGCAATTAAATTTATTTTATGCTATATTCTAATCAATATTTTGTTGTAATTCCATTTTTATTAGTTGTCTTAACCAGCATTTTTGATACCAAGGCAGGATATTAAATAAATAAATGAACTTATGATAAGCTAGGATCACGCATGATGTTCAAAAGAACTTGAGGAGAGGTCTGAGGGGGAAATTAAATCTTTTGATCAGGTATGACCATTGAGGCTTGACCTCTCCTACACATTTGAAAGAAGGCATATAGAACACCTACAGAAAAAAGGATGGGCCAGTGGCACCTTCAAACCACCCAGAAAGCTGGAAGTAAAAGTTGAGAACTGGGAGAGATTTCCAAACTATACTTGGTAGACAGAACCATTGCGAAGGAGGGGGAATTGCTCTCTGTGTATATGATTAATGCTTGAAACCTAACAGGTAGATTCCTAGGGAATTAAGAAGCTACATTCAACTTTTAAAGGGACAGGGATTCCATTGGCCTTTCTCCATACTTTTTAATAGACAAGAGATATAAAGCTATTTAAAGCAAGCAACTAGTTAAAACAACAATAACATTGTTAATGAGAAAGCAATGAATTTAGTATTTTAAAGAACTTAGGGTGGCCATGTGTCCTACCTTACAGTGGACAGTCTATTTGAAGGCATCATCTGAAGAGCTGGCCAGTCCAAGTCTGGTTTAAAGATGATGAACCATAAAAAGGGAGAGAAGGGGCCTTGAAGCCCATCAAGGGTTAGCACCTGGACAGCAAACTGAACAGCATAATGTCCCTTGGTCACAATCTTCCATACTATGGTGAGATATATTCTATTTAAATTATAGTAATAATTTCTAAATTAGCATTTCTTCATATATTAGCACATACAAATATACATACACAAATATTATGTAAATCTCTTCATCTGTTTTGGTGATACTTTTCCTAAACTGCCATTTAAAGGGAATCTGATTACTTTGCAATTTTTCCTATCAACATATTATAGGAAATTAAATATTAGAAAATTACTGGAATATTTTGAAAATGACAATAACTGCCTTTAAAACAGTATCCCAGTTGATACAGACCTTTAAGAAAGTAGTGAACTATAAATACACAATCAAAGCAAAACTGCAGGAATGAAAATATATTTACTTTGTATTTGGGAAATGCTGTTATTTACATTTTCTATCACTATGTTTCTGTGCTAAGTTGCACTTATCTATACCACTTAAGCAGATACGTTTAAAGGCAGCAATAGCATAAATAGCATTTCACTGTCATAATATGCAGGGATGACACCTGAAGAATAGAGAATAAATAATGTTTCACATAATATTTCTAGTATTTTATATTTTAACTGATGTTTTGTAAGCCGCCCCGAGACTTCGGCGAATGGAGCGGCATAGAAATTTTTTAATAAATACATAAATAAAATAATCCTGTTATATGACCTTTCCATAGCAAATGTAAGCTAATGTACTATGAGGCTCATAGCCTACTTATCTTGGTTGCAGCACCTTCAAAATTTGTACTTGATAAATTTGACATTAAGTATATGTTTGAGAAGTTCTTGCAGCTGATTATGCACCCAGCTGCAGCATATGCTCATACACGTGAAAGGCTAACCTAACATGTTAAGTCAACAGTAAGAACATTATTAATTTCTAAACATTCCTGAATTGTCCCTGTGTTTTGTTTTGATCAGTAAACTTATAAATGTAGCAGTAATTTGTGCAATGCATTCCTATGCTCATGTACTCAAAAGTTCCAAAGTATGCTGCTAAATATGCATGCCTTAATCTTTTTAATAAAATGTGTGTGTGGGAGGGGGCAGTGTTTTGTTGTGTTGCGTTGCATTTTAGAACAGAGCAAAGAAAGAATTTCTGGCCCTCCAGGTATTTCTTACTATAGTTCCTATCATGCCTAACCATTGTTCATGCTCACTGAAGCTGATGAGATTTGGAATTTAACATCTGGAGAACCATAGATTCCCCATTCCTGTTTTAGGGAAGAATCATTGTTTGAGCTGTCATATAGAAATCATACTCTTTTCTAACTTTATATTGCATATGTGGGGAGAAAGGGAAAGGAAAAGTAAAGACGTGAAAGGAATAAAACAGTAAAAAGGCCATCTAGAAGAGGAATGGTTTCACTGCAGCTAACTATTGGTTCCAAATACTAATAACAATATCAGGATAAGAGCATTCATACATTTAGCCTCAGAAATATCGCATCCTGTCATTGATATTGAGTCAGCACTGTGAACTTTCTGTGTGGCAATGGTGTGGGACGTTTCATTACCATAATCATCATTAGATGTAATACGTCATTTTACAAGAGGGGAGAAGGACTTAAAAGGTTTTTGTGAAATATTTTCACAACACTTCTGTTAAAAAGTCCTTTATTTTGTTACAGATTTCTGTGTAAAGGCTATTTATATTTTTCTAGAATAACGATAATTATTTTTTACAGGCCAAGCTTTCTTCCATCCATATGACACGGCTTCCTGGTTCTACCAAGTTTCCATCACCAGGACATCTGAAGGGGTGCAAAGAATTGAGAAAAGACCAAGATACAAAATGCCATTGTCATATGAAGGCATGCAAAAAATCATCAAATGGTACTTCTTCCCAGGGGACAAGTGGCCCAAACAGTAGATCAAACTCAATCCAGGAGTTTTCAGAATCCTTTGAGAGGCAACTGCATTTCAAAAACAAGCGCTCAGTTTCATTGGTAGGTAGCAACTGTATACAAATGGTATAAAAACTTTGAAGAAATTAATGTTGAAGGTATGTTTTGTATATGTTAATCTAACTTAATTTCATTTTAATTTACAGTCATTTAAAATGTTCTGACTGTCAAAGTACTGAAGTGAATTGAGCGTGAAAAATGGTCAGCCCAACTACTGCTTTATAACATGCAATTATATATCACTCATATTTAGATGTTATTATAAAATAATGATTTAGCCCAACAGGATAGTCCTTCTTGGAATCAAATCTCATTGAATTTAATTGGTATTACTTCCACTTATGTGATTTAAGTCTAAATGTACCCTGGTGGCTAGATTTAGATGGCTTTTCCAGACACTTACCTTAGGCATTCCATACCTATTTTATAATGCAATCATTCTGGTTAAAGGGTTAGATTTTGCTGTTTAAACTTAACTTGCCACTATCTTATAATATACTTTAGTGATATTAAAAGTATTGTTCTAGTTGTTCGCCACCCCCCTCCCACCTTCCCACTCAGTCATGCTGCACTGATTCAGGGGATATGATATAAGGCTAATTTCCCCCCTCTTCTTACCAAAATCTGAGCATTGTCTCGGGAAAAGGAATTTTGCCAGTTTTAAAAGTGGCTTTTGATAGGGCAATGGTAGTTATGGCTGTATATGTTCCAGTCCCACTCCCCCCAAAATGCCCCCTCAAACTCCCCTTTTACGGGACCAGAGTTTCTCAACAAATAGTTATCAAAACTCCATCAAAAAAAAAAAAAAAGAGGGGGGTTACACTTAGGCACTTCTCTGAGTCTTAAGCACAGTGTGCACCATTGTGAGGACTTTAAGTAGGAAAAAAACAATTGAGCATCTAGCCCAGAGGAGATATAACTCCAAGCCCAAGACCTTTTTGGTGAGCAAAAATCACTCATGCCTTTGCTTTATTTTGAAAGCTTTTTGACAGCTGTAAAGAGAAACTGGTAGGGAGACCTCTGGAGCCCCTGTGGGACAATTTCCAGGGTTTGAGCCTGCTCCACTTTGCCAGCAGTTTTCCTCCAGGATAATTTCCCAGGCAAGGTTTCAAATTCCCATATTCATACAACTCAAACCTGCACAATTGCACAAGTGTGACAACTGCAACACCAATAGAGAATCAGCCACTGACAGTAAAACATCTACGGCGGAGGTAGACAATTTGTATGTTTATTTTCTTTCTTGAGATAAAGTATGGCATTGTTATTATAGATGATGGTGGAATTTCATTTTAATATTCAGGATGTTTTGTTTTCAGGAACCTGAAGGCATGAAAGAGAGGCGAGAAAGAGAAAAACTGCATATTCCCAAGAGTAGATCTCATAAAAAAACAGGGGAAAAGAAGGAACCAAAGACAGAGCAAGAGGAAGAAGAATACCATGTGGAGCTTCCAGTTGGAAAGAGCAGTTAATCTTTTCCATGACATGCAGGCACAAAGAGGAAATGTGTTTGTACAAACTATTATAGATTGGCTTTTCTATTCAACGGTGAAGTATAAATATATTCTGACACGTAGGGTGCAATTCTATAGCCTCTCAACATCTATAGCAGGATTATTTGGAGTTCCAGCTCCAAGGACCTGTGACCTTGGTGCTAGGACTCTGAATGTTGTGCCCCAACTCTGCCCCCCAACCAGCAAAGAAAGAACCACACTGGTCACCTCTCCAAGATCACAAATTGGCCTCAGAGAGAAGGAAAGGGGACAAGCAGTGGGGACAGGGGTAGATACTGGGGCCAAAAGCTTATGCCATATCCAGATGGCGATCCAGCCACCTTCCCTACCACTCCACACCACATCACCACAGCTGAAACAGCCACCTGAATGAATGTACGGCTTGAATCATGGAT